GGTCTATCATATTTCAGGTAAGTTAGAAGAATTTTGTTTATTTCTTCGTAAGGTAAAATTTTTCAATGGCATAACCGATGTGAATTTTATTAAATACGACACAAAACAAGCTAAATATATTATTAAATAAGTCGAATAAGAATATAACCTCAAATCATTAAGGCTGACATCTAAGTGCTTAAAATCTCCCCTCAAAGTGCTTTAAAATTAAATTATCAATATTCTGTTAAACAAATATCAAAATGTTTGAAACTCAACTATTTTCAAAGTACATAGAACTACAAAATGGGATTTAAAAAAACAATTGGGCAGTTTTTAAACTTTGTATTAAAATAAATCCAAGTTTGTAACCTAAAATATTAGCATTTAAAGCCTTTCAGTAAAGTTTTGCATGATACTATTAAAATACCGCTTAATTTACTGTAATGTAATGTTAAATTACATTTTCTAGACTTAATTGAATATCATTTCTGTATTTAGAATCACTAAAAATTGTGCTATGTATTTGGTTAGAAATGTTTGAGTTTATAGTAGATAATATAACTAATTTTATCAATAAATCTCGGCCAAATGTGTTTTTTCTTCATAAAATATTGTTATTCCATATGACAATCATATTATTATCATAATGATGACCTCAATTTTCCAAATTAAAAATTGATATTAAAAAAAAAGTGTTTTAGTAATTGTGTTTATATTTTAGATTTTCATCACATGAACATGAACTTCAAAATTGATTGATAAATGAAACTGAACTTCAAAATTGGATTGAAGCTTGCGGAAGACCAAATTGTAAGCCTTCAAGACATGCCAGGGTGTGTTCAATGCATTTTGAAAAACATTTATTTTTAAATGTAGGAAGACAAACAACATTGAGTACATAATAAGGATTTTATTAAATAGATATAATAGTTAAATACTTATTATACAAGTGAGATATTTTTGTTTCTTAATAAATCCACTTTTATAATACCTTCCTCAAAGGGATATACACAATGTAACAATAGGAATGGTAAGTATAGAAAAGTCTGAAACTATAAGATATTGTATGTTAGTATTATTTTGTTGGTTTCATACAATATTAATTAACCATGTAAAACCTTTTTAGATTGAGAATCTAAACTGGACTTTTTGAAAAATAAAATATACATAATTTATACTAGATACTGATAGTCTAAGTTTTAAACTTTTAATGTTATTATTAAATAAGAATTGCCTTCATTAAAAATTAATCCTATATCTCTATACTTGCTAGGAAATTTTAAATACTATGTCAGTTTAAATATTGATTTGTTCGTGGAGTTATAGTTTTTTTGCACTTGTTAAGTAATTTTTATTTACCATGCCATAATTGTTGTATAAAAATATGAGATGTTCATAATTTAGTCGCATATCGGTTATTAGTGTTGTGTAGACAGAACCACAGATCATATTCTTCATAAATATTATAACTTATTTGTGCCATAATCTAATCTTCAAATATTATCTGTGCTATCCTTTTAGAAATACACTGATTATGATTTGTTTGTATCTTTATAATAAAGAAATGCTAGAAAATATATTGTGAAATAATATTGGTTATTATGTTTTTTAAGAATTCTTATCTATGATTTAAGAGTAGGTATTGTAAGCTCACTAAAATATGTTTTTTTTATTTTGTATTAAAATATAATAATAATGTATCATTTTACTGTATATTAACATTCATTTTCATATTTTTAAAAATCTTTTGTGTGATAAGAATTCACTGTAACAAAGAAAATTGTGCTCTAATTTGTGATTGGATAACCAAATAAAAGCCAATTTTAATTTATAATAGTATGTATTAAGAATTCAAATTTTGTTTAATGGCTTTTAAATATATTTAACATTATATAGTATTAATTGTATTAGGCGAATACTTATTTAGATTAATTACTCTGGTGTACTTGCTGCAGTTAAGTAGACAATTTATTTACTTTTTGTGATCGAGTAAGTTTATTTTAACTTATAAGTAGCATAATTGCTATTTTCAATATGTGATTAATACATGTGATATATCTAATTATTTGTAAAATTTTTGTGGAAACGAAGTAAAATGCTTTTTATTTTAGTACCCTCTTTGATTTCACCCAACCTGTAACTTTATTTAATATTGGTTTAGTAATTGATAATTATTTTCATTATAATTATTAATTGATTTTTCTAATAAGTCATAGCTCTTAATAAATCACACACACTCAACAGCGTACATCGGCAGAATAGATTAAAATAGGTCTGCAGGTGTAATGATTTACACTAATTTTTATTATAAAAAAACCAAAAATGTTGAAAATTAACTTTCCTTTATTGTCTGGGGTCTGGGAGTTCTGAGTATTATGGTACCTTTGTTGTCACAGATACTCCAAAATACGGGGTTTAGTACTCCAAAATATACATCTTACAATATGAGCCATGTATGTGATGTTGAATGTTTATTTATCTATACTTAATATTATAAAAATTAAAGGTTTTATTGTTTATTTTTTACACCGAATAGGCTCCGAAACCACTGGACCGATTATTATATTTGATCAATCTCAAACTACCAGGGACAAAGTGGTTTTTTAAGCATTTTTATTAAGATTACTGAACCGATTTTAAAAACTCTTTCACATACGGGTAGCTACACCATACGCAGTTGACATAGGCTACAGTTTACACAAGCGATGTCGCGTGACAATAGCTATTTTATAGATATTCTAGTTTGAGATAAGAAATCTTCTGGGACTGGTTCTAGAATTTGAGTGAAGTATCGTGGTGGACTAACGAAAACCGTCAAGTCTCTTTATGAAATCGACCAGGATAACGGATACGACGGCAGTGGTGCACAAACGCTCATACCTCGAAAACACTAATACGTGCTCTGCTAATACTGTCTTGAAGTAATGAAATCCAGAATCTGATTAATTACTGATCAAAGTCAAATATCTCTGCAGGCTTACATATTTGTTTTCGATCAATAATTATTAAGATTCTGGATATCTATTTATTAGTATTTCGTAACTAAATATGAGACTAAAATATTCGATTGGATTAGTCAGAATGATAAAATACTTTGTGGTTACTAAGATCTACTAAATATCAACCTGTGTCAATAGTTTCAATGTTTTATTTCATTCTAAAATAACCTAAGGTTTTAAAAAATGGTCTTTCTAACAGCTATTGAGTAAACATACAGTGGCGCTGCTGGACTGACGTTAGCCCAACATCATCACAATGTTTCTTATTTGCCTTTCTAAACATAATTTTATAATTGAATAGGTACGTTATTCTCCTTTAAACGGTTTTCTTTATTGTCTATAGATATATTTTTTAATTTTGGTTGAATTAAATTTTCGAAATAGTTTTGTTTGTTTAAATTAAGACTTTTTTGAGCATATTCTAATTTAGTAAAATTTAATTTTATTTCGAAAACTTCAGCAACCAAGCCCATTGATTCAATGTGCTAGTTAATTTAAGATGATAGATAGTGTATCAATATTTCTACAAAAAAAAGTTCCTCTATTACTAATCCTTTCATCCATGGGAAGTTACATCATACGTGGTTGACTACAGCTATAATTTGGTGAAATCGCAGAAAAGTAGATAGTTTCTGAACATTTCTACATATTATGCTGACTAAATTATTCCTCCTTTGCTAATAACAAAATATCTCCCCATAATCGAGGAACATTTAACTATCTAGTAACACTGATGATTTATTTGTTGTCCCTTACGGTGGCACGCCTAATAACCCTCTATAAGTACTTACTCTAAGTGTGTCGTCCATAGAGGTGGCCTGCCCTACCCTTTAACACTCTATTCATTATAAATCGTAGAGATGCGTAGAGAAACAATCAAAATGAATCAAAGAGTAAATACTTAACAATCTAAATGCAAATTTCTGAATCAAAATAATTTAAAAGATTTTAGACTTTTATATTACGTAGTATCTTCTACTTAGGCTGTGTTTATATCCCAATTTTGTAGATAGGATCAACGCTGAGTTATTTGAGAAAATGGTAAGTTTTTTTAAAAGCGCAATTTAATAATCATCGTGTATATTTCAGTTAGGTACCAAAAAAATTACTTACAACTTTTAAAACCGATACAACTAAAGACTTCTATAGCCGCTACGGATCCGATAGCTTGAATGGTATATTTCAGGGTTCTGTACTTCCGTACTTCAAAAAAGCGTGCGTATGTCCGTCTGTTCATCCCAGGCTTCTTTTTTAGAAGTCTCTGGTTCTCCCATGTTTCTGTCACATTACAGCATGACTAATTTGCTGGCTCTCTCGATCTAAAATTGTTTATCTCTCTCTCTCGCTCTCTCGATCTGATGATTGTGGTACTGTAAATACTTTGCTGTCTTCACGATTTTATAACATATAATAAAATTATAGGTTATATTGATTAAAATCCAAATTTTAAAATGTTTGATCTATCACAAGTGTTAGTATAGGAACTTATAGCGTGTTCGTTATGCTATGCTGACTAAATACAAAGACAGTGCTAGGCGTGGGCAATGTGACCTACCGCCCACAGCATCGCGACACTAAATACTTCACATCGCGTCTTACTCGAAATAAGTTAAATAAAGCTTGGAAAAAAAATTAAAAAAAAATACATAAGCAATATGAAAAAAGAAGAATAGAAGTGGGAATTAACGTATTTTCTGCTGAGATGATTAAACCAGAAGGTATCTGCAATCTTTGCTGGAGGACTGAAAAAGGTTTGACGTACTGAAGACGCACGGTCAGGGTGGTCTTGTACAAACTAAATGGCAGACGTGTTCACTACGCCAACTTTAGTTTAAGGCCATTTAGCTTCGCAGTCAAAGTGTAAATAAAAATATTTCAAAGGAGAATTATGAGAAATAATCAAGTGTAGGAATAAACAAACTGATCATTTTAGAAGTAAATGAATAATTATAGCTTTATGACTAAAAAAAATTAAATGAAATTTAGTGATTTTTAGTTTCGGCGGCTGTATCCGGTAGATTATGGTAATGACTCTATTTGATTTCATCGAATGACATTTATTCCATAGATAAGGCCTGTGTCCCAGCAGTGGGAACTATAATTAGCAGATATCAATAGTGACAATATTTGTTATTTTTCCAGCCGTACGATTATTTCGATAAATATACATTTTTATGCGAAATGTATGACGAAGATGCTGATGAAGTTGTAGAACTAACATTGAATTTTTTTCCTTTTGACAATTCGGTTCAAGTTATTAACGCTAAGAAGAGCAAGACTTTACTTAAACGCGTGCAACTACCCACATTAAAGTTGAATATGTTGCAAATAGGAAACATTGTCAATATATTTTCAAAACTGCTTCACATCATTGATTGTGCACCAGCCACACGGCGAACATTGTTTAAAAACGAGGAAAGGTTTGTTTTAGAGAAAAATTACAATTAACATAAGTTTATGTATTTATTTAATTTTATGTAGCTTTTGCTTTCCACCAACGCATTCCAGAGACGGGTATCTTGAACAGTAAAATATTTATGAAAGAATTTTAGTGGAATGCATTGATATCTCCAATTTCAAGTTCTCCGATAACCTTAAAACGTGACTGTGTGTATTATGGAGGAAATTGAAACGTTTCCTTAGAGAAGTAGGAGTAAATGGATTAAACAGAATATTGTAAAGAAGATAAAGAATATGTGCATTCCGGCGAAGACGAATTGGCAACCACTAGAGCTTATTACGAAAATCGGATACGTGATCATATTTGCGTAAACCAAGTATAAATCTAATCCAAAAAAATTGAAATCGCTCAAGTTAGATTAGCTGCTCTTCAATAAGGTCAAGATCACTGTAATCGGCATAATCTAAGATAGGGCGAAGAAGGGTTTGTGCCAGCGCAATTTTAGTGGACAACGGAAGAATGACGTAGCTGTTTTAAGGATCCCGCCGCAAGAAACATTTTTCGGCTCACTTCTTGTATTTGAGGCCTTCATGTAAGTTTTTATCTATTAAGACACACAAGTTTAGTACGCTATCACAGGAAGACAATGACCCACTATCTAATGTAATTGGAGGTAAAAGAGACCAGTCGATTTTGTGAGTCGTTGAGGAGCTGCCGATTATAATAACCTGAGTCTTTTTTTTTATGGGATAGGGGCAGACGAACAGACGGATCACCTGATGGTAAGTGATTACCGTCGCCCATGGACACCTGCAACACCAGAGGGGCTACAAGCGCGCTGCCGGCCTTTGAGGGACAGGGAGGGAAGAGCGGGTTGGGCCTCCGGTACCCTCACTCACACGACGAAACACGTTGCTTCACGGTAGTTTTCTGTGAGGCCGCGGTATCACTACGGTCGAGCAGGCCCATTCATGCCGAAGCGTTTACATTTACATTACGTTGCTCGTTGTTTACATTAGAAATGGTTCGAGAAAGTTCGTTTATGCGAGCTTGGGAATAAATTTGCAAATTATATGCATACAAGTGGTTGGATGAAAGTAATTGATTTGAAATGGAATTAATAGGACTTTTCTATTTTCCATGCCTGATGATATCATCGCAAATTTTACTAGCGCCGTTGCGACCAGCGCAGAAACCGGACTGATTGGGATTCATGAGTTGGTTCTTAATAGGAAAGACGGACAGTTGATTATAGACAAGACGTTCAAGAACTTTAGATAGGAAAGGTAGGATTGAGATAGGTCTGTAGTCGGCAAAGGTTACCCAAGTAACACATAAAAGCAGTATAACGGCCGACTTACAGCATTTCTGTATCGTTTTAGCATTTAATATTAGTTTTACAGTAGCCGTATAAACGTTTATACGGCTACTGTAATGCTTAATTGGGCACAAATTCAAAAGCTTTAGATCCTAAATGGGTTCACAATAGTTGTTTAATTGCATTACAGGCGCATTTTATTAGCAATATTATGGTCAAGGAAGCTACCAATCGCATTATAAAAACATTATTAGGGTCAAACAGTCGCTAATTACATTACAGAAGCATTATGCTAGCAATATTATTGATAATGAAGATGTTAATTGCATTACAAAAGCATTATGCTAGCATTATAACGTAGTAGAAGCATGATTATAACTATTAAGGTGTTCACAGTTAGAATTTAAATAAACCCTACATCGTTGCAAAAACGCCTTTAATAAGCGGGACTTAATGTTATAATAAAAAAAAACGTTGTATTTTACTTTAACTCCCTAAAAACAAAACTGAGTGAAGTGCTATTTGGGAATTCAGAAAACTAACTATATAATACTGGGTAAGTTTTTGACATTTTTGTTATTTCTTACCTTCAAATATTACTGCGCAGTGTAGTTTAGTGTAATTGTCTATATAAGATACATTGAAAATTTTCACGCGCCTTTGATATTTTGTGGTTTTGATATGAAATCTTATTTAAAGATATGTATTTAAAACCAAAACAAATTGTGTGTTCCTACTATAGAATGAATTTTGCATAATTAACCTAATATTATTGGTTGGGCAGTATTAAATTAAGTTGTTTAGTTATTAATTATTATATAGGCTTATTTCTTTTTAAATCAGCCCGAATGATAATATTTATTGGTTATAAAATATTTAAAAATGGTGTCGAATTTATAGCAGCCCGGTAAGTCTTTAAAAAGACAAATTAATGCTGCCAGCAGTATAAATATTCACGCGTCATTCAAGACATTAGATGAACCACTGCAGTGCCATTGTATATAAAGTAGTCCTATATGTGTTCACCTGTATACCAATAGACTTCATGTAGACTGAAATAGTGCCATTACTTGAACCCAATTTTAGGGGTTCTTAAGCAAAACAATAAAACCCATCTCAGAATTTTTGTATAAGTTGAGTTATTAAAATACTTTCTGAACGCATTATCTACATAAATATTCTTCCACGTATCTTATTGAAATGCATTGAGTTATAATTAAATAACTAGACTCAACTCGACGATTGGAATAAGAAAATATAGCAAAAACAGGAAATAACACAAAAATACACCATACAATTATGCGCAAGCGATACGTTATGTTGCCAGCGCAGCGATCTACGTTTTATCCTATCGGGTGCTGCCTAACTAAAATCCCAATAAAAATTATGAAACGCTTAAGAAAAAAAATATTTTCAGTAGTTCTGTTTTGCTTCATCTGTCTAATAAACATTAATTTATAGTAAAATGATTTCATACATAGCGTATATTGCGTACAGTGGCATCAATTGAAAGCTAGAAACACTAAACAAATTAAGTTTCAGTATTAATTAAAGTACCTAGATGGGGCTTCTTTCTTTTTCCTTGGTTCTTTTACTAGCAACTGTCACCCCCCTGATTCAGTACCTAACTGACTCGCATAACTGAAGGTTGTGCTCGTGCGTGTCTTTTTCCATACGTGATTCAGTGTTTTTATCTTTTTTATGGGCAACGTTTTTTGATAATTTGATTTTCTTATTTTCAGACAATATTATACTAATCAACATGCCGTACAAAATAGTACAGACAAAAGAGAGAGGGAGAGCAACACTAGTCATTGTACCTTATATGTGGGAGGAAAATGGTGAATAGTTGTGGCCGCCTAAAAAGACCCAGTACAAATTAATGAAAGATGAGCGATCCAAACCCGATAAAAAAGAATGGAGATTAATGTCCTGAATTTTGAAAAGGAACAATATTCCAACATATGAACTTGCCGTTGCTGAATTATCAATAATGGAAGAAAATTCAGACACAGACGCGAATGATGCGCCCCGAACGACTGTTGTTCAAAATCAAGATCTAATGAAATTTGAACTTATGTCCAACAATTTGGTAGGGTCATTTTTTATTATTTTTAATAATTTCTCATTCACAACGCCATACTTTAATATATTATTATGAAAAAGTGCTTAAAAATCCACCGTCTGAGGTAGGACCTCAGAGTGCCTTGGAACCGGTGGATTTTTTAAGCACTTTTCCATTATAATATAAGGTCATTTTTTATTTATTAGTCCATGATTTTGCCAATCTGATGCGTTCACTCGTGTTTAAGTCATTATTCGTACTAATAGAAACATTATAATGACGACCTATTTGGTACAGTGGTCGTGACATCCACCTCTAATTCAAGGGTTGCAAATTGTTAAAATTATGTCATTTTATTATAAATTGCCAGTGTGTCTCGCTCGCGCCAATACATCATGTTAACACGGAAAAATTCGTCGAGTCAGATGTATGCGTGCTTGAATGATACGAATGACATAATTTTTATTGTTAAAAGATAAGTTGTAATTACAGTTCGTCCACTCAAATGGTTTGCAGTACGGCCGCACGTAGTTAGGGAATTTACTCGTACCTAGCAAAATCAAACACGCGACCGATCAACACCACGCGCGCGCCCCTGCGTCTGTATACCGCGTATCGGCACCTTTGAGCATAAACCATTTGAACGAATAGACTGTAGCCTCCATAATATATTGAAGTCTCAGAATACGTATTACAAGCTATATTATCTAAGATTTAAGTAATCGGTTAATGAGAGTCTATAATTATAAGAATAAGAATAATTATATTGTTTTCAGAGATGCGATCAAGAAAGACAACCAAGCTCATGTACGGATTATAAAAACGTTACAGCTACTGAAAACACCACGAATCATGAAAACATAGTTCAGATAATTAGCGCAGAAAGTGTGAACTTCGATCAAATTTTAGCAAACCAAAAAATAATATCCGACAAACTAGACAACATGTTGCAAATTCAAGCAATCACTCTCGAATACCAGCAGCAAATCGTTCAAAAGTTGCCACGTATTCTGTGCAGTTTGAAGAAATATCTTTACAACTTGCAGAGATAAAACAGGGTCCAAGCGTTACTTTGTTGAAAGATGCAAACTCTATAGATAACGAAAGTTTTACAATAAAACCCATTGAAAATCAAACAGATCTTATATCATTGGACCAATTACTGACAAATAAAATAGAAAAAAATAAACTACGAAGACGTTTGTCGTTCTTATGCTCAGCTTCTGAGGGCGAAGGAAAAACTTGTGCCTATAGATTATTAGATATTTTATTCACTAGAGATTTCCTTTGCAACTGTTCATGGGCAGGTGGAAGTAGAGGAGATAGGTCGAAAATTGGTCTTAAAGATAACAAGAATGTTTTAAAATTCTTTCATGGTATGATCTATACTTGGGATCCAACATATGCTGTACAAGACAATGAAACATTTTTCAAAATTATTACTAAATATTCGAGGCAACGGAAATGTATGAAAAACATTAGAATGTCTTTTAAAAGATGTCGCAAGACTAAGGGTAATTTAAATAAAGGGCAAAAGCGTGGAAATACAAAGCAACCAGATGATGATGAAAAAGAAATTGGGGGTGAAAACATAGTAATTGAAGAAGATCAGTCAAACGATGAGTCCAAAGAAATAACTGGAGGAGAAAGCGTTTCAATCCAAATACAAGAAAATAATCCTTGTGATGAGATGATGAAGATAGCGAAATATGTTTGTGTCAATCGTTAGACAATTCATTTTTTTTTTAATTTTTTGTATTGATAGGTCCACCTACTTTTTTGTACTTAGAATGTGACGATAACTGTAAAATATTTGTTATTTAAATAATTTAAAATAGAAAACTTAAGTAATTGTGGTAAACTTTTTTACTTCTTAAAAATGTTATTGTAGACCCTAAGGCACTGAAAATAGCTTAAAACTGAATAGCGGATATACGTGGCATTATTATGATTCATATTTAGACTATTAAGCATTAAGCATATATTAACTAATTAAACGTGCTATTGCAAAACCAAATGCACTTGTAACATCTGAAAGCCTTACAGCTGCATTGTGATTTGCTGCCCTAAAAACAAGGGCTTTACAAAAGCATTCTAATTTGCCGTTATGCAACCGTTACTCAGTGTAAAACATCACAAAGGTTTTGAAATGCCAATATAAAGCATCAAGTCGGCCGGTGAACTTATATAAGAGTTTATACGGACTTTAAGTTTTAATAAGTTTAGTTGATCATTCGTTAAAATGCTTCCTGTGTTACTTGGGTAATGACTTAAATTTTTTTGGTAAAGGGATGACTCGAGCATCTTTCCAACTAGATGGAAAGATCTCAGTGCATATGGAGTGATTAAGGATATATGTTATGACTGGGAGGACTACATCTAGGACAGGGAGGATCATTTTACGGCTGATGCAGTCACTGCCTACGGTTCCAGACGAAATTGACATAATACTCTTTTTAAGATCACAATCGGAGAATTGAGAAATAGAAAAGGGGAAAAAATTAGGGCATGGAAGAGATGAAAGAAAATACAAAGTATTCAACTTGTTTCTTGAAACTAAATCATGTGAAGCACAAAAGCAATTATTGAGTAATTTAATATCTAAATTCGAAATCGAGGGCTTTTATGATTCTAAACGATAGCTAAATTGAAATATTTTACGCATCTCATGGTAAATTTATAAAATAACGGATATCTATTCGTAAGATTCTGAACGGTTAGAGGAATCACAAAGGAGCTTTTAATTTTACAATTCTTTGAAATACGGCAAATAATACACTGTTCTTTGATTAGTCGATTGACAGTGATAATAATTGTGTCCATAGATTTGGTACAACTAGCAGACTTACCAAACTATAATTTGTAGTTACAATATCTGGTCCTTCTCTGACGCGGGTGTAGTAAGTAGGATGTGCAATTATCATTTTCGATTACCGACCTAATAGTATTTTTAAACTGTGTAATGAGTAACCCTGTGATATGGGTACCTATAATAGAGGGTTACTTTTTACGAAGCCGTGGAGAGGAAGGTGAAATACCTAACACGTGACTTATTCAAACTTCATCAGGACGCACATGGCGTTTGGTTATTGCTTCCTTATTATTTTGCGCGTGAGTGAGATTTGTAAGTTTATCAATTTGCGAAAATGCGGACTTAAAATAATACAATTTACCTCTCGTTTAGGAATCCCACGAAAGTTTATAAATTTTCTAGTAAATTTATTGATTTGCTATTCTTGTTATTTTCCGGTGATATATACATATAAACATTTCTCGTGAATCGCTCTGTCTGTATATTGATGAAAATCTGCTGTGTCTGAAGAAATTAAAGCGGGACGAGACTTTTTATACTATTTATTGTATATGTATTGTTTATAATATAACATCGTCTGTTAATAAACTTTATACATCTATATTTAATAAAATATCGCAGTACCTAAACGAATAATACACTAGTTTTATTATTAACTAAATGACCTCGTTTAGAACTTTCCTTTCTAAAAAAATAAAAATATAAAATTATTTACAGTACCTTTGCACTCATTAAACCAGTACCACCAAGTGAACATGGTAAAATAATAACATACATTATGAAGAAAGGTTTCCGCATTGTTCGAATGAAAAATGGTAAACTAGGAAAAGAATTTGCTATGGAACTATACAGAAATATCGCCGGGAATAGTATGCTACCGTTAGTATATTTATCCAATTAGTTTAATAACTAGATAAACAATCCCATACAACATTGATTTTAGTATTGGAAACATAAAATGTAATGAATTAGGATCATCAGTTTTTCCGCTAATTGACCGATTTCCAAAATTGTTTTTGGTCAACAGTTTAATGAACCGAGGTGGTCTCATTTAAATTTTGTCGAAATAGAATCAGTTTTCTGTTTATAACAAACCTAAATATGCTTTTTATCAGATATCACCTAAGATAAGTATTTGTTATTTATAACTTTTTAAAAGTTTGAAAACTGTTCTATTTGAAAAAAGTTTTTTTTAATGTATTGGCCACCACGGTTAACATTAACTGCCTATACAAACTTTACCATCAGTATCCAAGTAGTAATAATAAATAATTTATTTTTCATAATGTCCTGAAACTGAAACGATTCCATTCCCGAACGGAAAATTAGTTTTTTTTTTAATAAAATTATTAATGCAATTTTTCTTTTCACTAAAATCAGGGACATGGTTCAGCGTATTTAAATTAACTCCGGTGTCTGAATTCACTTTAAAAGCGGTATTTGCTCAACATTGAATTGGTAATAACGTTTTGTAGCATAAATGAAGTGACAAATCATAGCTATAGAATTATATCTGATTTATATTTAAAATACAGAGTAAATTTGCACTCCAATTACAACTGTGCGCAGCTCCATTCCGCAATAAAAAGACATCACATATCAAACTGAAAGTTTCAAACTATCAAAAACTGAAAGTTTCAAACACATATCAAAATGTTTACATTCCAAAATTAAAAACAAGTGCGAAACCGGTTACAACCTTTAGAATTTTAGATATAATCCATAAATTCCATTCAGCAATTTATACAATAATTAATTAATAATACTAATACTGTTAGGTCACTATCTCTAACCAAGCTTTTAATATTCAATTAGCTTAGAGATAGCCACAACATCTCAACACATATACAACCAATCAAGCAAATCAATATTAAAATGGCAAAACAATTGTAAAAACAAAACCTACGACCACATGCAATGACAGGCGAACATTTCAAACTAATTTCATTTGCCTATTATGTATATCATTTTATTAAAAAACAATTATTAAAATATAGGTACTAACATTTTCATAAATTTACAACTTCATTTCATTTCAATTTATCAGTACGAGATAACGGATGTGTCTCCTTAACCGTGCATTTAATGCCTGACAGCACAAGATCCAAAATCTTACCTTGAAAGTTGCGTATCGAATTGAATTGATCAAGTTCAGTCCTGATTAGAGCATTACGCAATGCTATGATTTTATTATCTGTGGTTATGTTACAATGTGGCACGGACCAGTCTATGCCAGGTAAATTAAAATCGCCTATAATGAGCACTTTTTGATCAGTGCATGTTAACATGACTCGCTCAAAATTATCGACAAATTCCAAAAAATCACTATCATGTATGTAAGACGGTATGTAAACTGTACAAATATTAAGTATAATTTTTTCAAAACGTACACTGATCCATATATCTTCCAATGGCGAACGCCATTGAATTTTTTCTATACAAAATAAACCCCTCTTGATTGCTATAAGTACACCCCCTCCATGGGTCTTATTATACTTGTTCATAAATTCACTCGATCTATCTCTACGATAAACGATATATCTTCTATCAAATAGCTCCATGGATTGCACAGAATCATCGAGCCACGTTTCGCAGAGACAAATAATATCAAAATTGCTTGTTCAAACCTCTAACAAACCTCTAACATTTTGGTAAAATATAGACAACAGATCCATCATAAAACATAATGTATGCATTTTATATTATTGCATAATGATATTTAAAAAAGGAAAAACACAATAATTACAGAGTTCATACCTACTTCAATTTTTCCAATACTTCCCCATTCCTTACATGTATGAAGCCAGGTGTTTCACTTTTCCGCATGAAAATCCGCCCATCTCTCACCCATACAAACTTGTAGGATAATTCCTTTGCCTTAGCTCTGGCGGCAGCATGCAGTGCTTTATTAGAAGGTGAAAGATGCTCAGAAACATACACAATCGAATTGGAACCAACAATGCCTAACATTGATGAGTTAAGTTTATTATTAGGATTAGATTTATTGAAGCGCGCCAACGACGAGTAGAATTCATCTCGACACCGGGTACTCCTAAGTTTAACTATAATGGAACGTGGCTTTTTACTTTCTTTGTTAATACTTGCCACACGGGTACATTTCATTATATCAGAATCACATTTGCAATCTTCTTAATTATGTCCGTTATGTTTTCATTCTTTTGCTGTGGTATTCCCTGGATCTCAAGGTTATTTTCCCGTAGATATTGCTCTATAGTATCTAGTCGCACTGCCATGGCGGATGCAGTCGATCGAATCTGTGCACATTCTGTTTTCAAATTCTGATAGTCGTTTATAATGGCATCATTAGTCTTGATTAGATCGTCATATTGCTTACTCATATATTCAACTGAGTCTCTCAAATCCCCTAGTTGCTTTTTAATAGGTGCTAGCTCATCACGTATGGCCGTTCTAATCTCGTTACGAATAGTGTTTATTAAATCAACGCTTTCAGACGTATTAATCTGATTAGTAGATGTTGTAAAATAACCGGAATATAATATCTGAGACTCGTATAATTAATCAATTTTGTTTTGTATTTACATGTATTTACAAATAATGGAATTAATAGTAATTCCATTATTTGTACATAAATACAAAATTCTATAATGAAATTCTATAATTTCAATACTAAATGACGTAAATTCGAACACATGAGTGAATTCGAATTCGGGTTCAGAGTTTTACGGAATCGCTCTGAAGAACAAATCTTCGTATATCATAAGTTTCAGACTTTCCACACGAGAAGCCACTGATTATTATTTAGCTTTATGGAAATTACAACCTACTCGATATCGATAACATCTTATTAAGCCAATAGTCAGGTACTCTATATATGCATTAATGATTACAGCATAATCATCGACTACGTGACGTCTGGTGAGGTAATAGGACTTGAACTTGTAGCTTCCGATGCTGTGACAAGATGGCGGCAATGCCTCGGAGCTACCGATCCCGCTGAAGCCGCACCAGGGACACTACGCAGACTTTATGGAGAAAATAAATTGAAAAACACAGCACATGGATGTAACACGGTGGAAGATGCTAATGAGGTCAGGATTATTGCAAGTGTTTAAAATAAGGCCGAATTTATATTATGAAACTACACTAAATTATTTTATGATATCAGTTTCATTGCATTGATTTCGCTAGCAGTTTCACGTGTAAACGTCCACTTTCACCATGCATGTGTGGTGGCCAGTAGTGCGATCGCCTCTCTCTAGTCATGATTCTAGCCATAGGATAAATATCTTTTCGATGTTTTCCATTTTACCACTTCTTTCTTAATCCTAATCTATCTTAATCTTTGTGAAGATAGTTTCGTGTCACGCAACTAATTTCACAACGATTAAGATGACAAAACGACTGCACGACACCATCTGCGGCTGCGCATATTAAAGCTTTGACGTTGACGTTGCCATTGCCAGTTTCTCAGAGATACTGTTGATTGCACTGCATGCGATTACACTCGTCTCATTAGAAATTATAAACCGCTATCAGCTTGAGTAGGTATTTTAGCTAAACGTAGACGATTTCGTTTTAGGTAACATCTGTATTTTTACCTATGTTCCATCACATTGGAAAACAACAGATTTTTTGCTGTTCGAAATATTCTTCCAGAAGCTTAGATTTCTTTTCTACATACATCAGTTTTCATTTTCTAAAAACTGTCAGTGTGAACCATAAAGTTCGACCTGAAGAATTCCTTTTTATCAATTCTAGTTTTTTAGCAATAAAACGTGAATGTATCACGATTTAGAACGATTTTGATTTAATAGATGTAAAAGCTGTAACGATCATCAGTTAGAACTGCTACTCTTTTTACTTAATCCCTTTTTGTACAGATACTGGAATTATTTTTTGGTTATGAAAAAGGAGTACCTAGAATCCCTTTTCGTGCTACATTTAAAGACTGCACGTGTTGTGTTATCAAGCCACACGCTATCATAGATGGTAACGTAGGGGCTATACTGGAACAAATATCTACTTCTGGAAAATTTTACATATCCGCAATGGCGATGTTTTCTGTGAAGTTAGCTAATGCCGAAGAATTTTACGAAATATACAAAGGTGTTCTACCAGAATATGAGGTAGATATTTCAGTTTTTACTTATATGTACCTAAATAAATTTTCAAAAACTAGCCATTATATGATTATTTTGTTTTAGGCTATGTGCATTCATCTAGCAGAGGGTAAATGCATTGCATTAGAAGTTAAATGCAATGACCACAATCTAAATTGTGTATGTGAATTTAGAAAGATATGTGGCCCTAGAGATCCAGTAAGTATCTCACGTTATATACCTATACCTAAATGCTAGCTGTAGTCCCGTGACTTCGCACACGTAAATAAAAGCCTAATGTCAACCCTGTATGATGTAGTACTTCAACAGGGGAATTCCACGATAATTGAAGTACATACAATTCGCATAGTTTAGCTACAGTCGAGAGAATTAATTACTTGAGAATATGTTATATATAACTTTTGCAGATATTTTCACAAAAAATTGAATTAAATAAGTAAGGTGTTCATGTATGTCTCGGGGCTTAAATAAGAGTTCTAGACACGTTTTACGATTCAATAGATGTAATCACAGTTTTACAATATATAAGAATCGACTAAAGCAGTGGAAACACAAATATTAAAGTCGTTTGTTAACGCGCACGTCACGGCCATAGACGGTTCCCGTTGGACTGAGGACTAATAAGGCTCATTTTCACTCGGAGTTATACAAAATTCCTGCGCTCGAGCGTTAACGAAAGCGGTCGACGTTGGTAAACGGAGCCCGCTTATTTAAAAAAAAAAAAGAGTGCGTAATTCTTTGTGCTAACCATCGCGTTACAGTTAGAAATATTAATACCTAGTTATTTAAAGGAATAACTTCTAATCAACTATAGATACGAATGTAAGAAAAATATAAACAAATAGAAAAAATGAACAAGGAACAGAATTATGTACAGTCAACAGCAGGCTCTATAAAACTATTTTTTTTCAATTGAATTTTAAACTTTAATGCATTGTTGGTAAAGTTCAAATCAATTAAGAAAACTGACCTGCAGCTGTGTGTAATGTAATTTTATGTAGGTAGAAAATGAATAACAATATCAATATCTAACTGAAATATTTATTGATAAATAAAAATGTTACGTACTGGCAAAGAATATATTGAAAGTAGATTACAAAATGACTTGCGTAAATATGACATATTGTGGTAGCTTGCCATATAACTGTAGTTTGGCCTAAAACTAAACTTCTCTATCATCTGTAACATTCAATAAAAACAAAATATCATAGGTTTCCAATTTCTTATGAAATTCAAATAGATATAATTTTAAAAAGTACCCATTTTTTCCTCAATACATTAGATTTCTTATACAAAAATCTGGCAATAGTGCAGGACTGTGACCTATGATACAATTTTAATTGTCTTTTTTTTTGTAATACATAGATGTCTTTGCCTACAGGATCTATGTCGACAGCTTTATCCTAATTCTATTAGAGCACAATATGGAAAAAATATTATCCACAATGCAGTTCACTGTACTGATCTTCCTGATGATGGAGAACTCGAAGTAGAATACTTCTTCAAACTTCTTGCCAATGATTAATTATTAATAAATTTTCAACAGCTCTCACTTTCGTTTGTATTCATTTTTTATTACAAAGTCATTGCCTTCTATCTCTATTTTTTCATACATCCATTTTCTATTCACCCTGCAAAGTGATAAAAATAAAAACCACTAGCTTGTTACAGCCCATAACTGGCTACATTATATAGCCTGTAGTATGTATACCAACATATTATTACTATAACAATTTTGACTTTTCAATGAGCACCTATGTAATGTATATGCATGCATGCATCACACACATGGCACGCTGCAATGATAACAACAAACTAATATTGTGCTTTGTATTGCAGTTCTTATTGTCAAAAAATTTCTTGTCCCCTCCGAAAACCAAAGAATTTCTGAGAGATCATATAGATGGATACTGTATACCTATAGCTTTTGTGGCTAGTTTTTGGTTAGTGTATTCATATTGCATAAATTGCAGTAACAACACATATTGCTTAAGGTAAGGTTATCAAAACAACACTTAAGCTTTTGCATTACGTTAATAATTTCTAACCTGTGCATGCAGCAGTCTAATATAGTTGCACAATATGAATGTGTTATGTTAATGCTTTATTTTATTTTTATATATATTTAATTAATTATCAGTGAGCTTGTTTGACTACAAATGTGATTTTATTGGCGTAAATACTGTTTTACTTTTAAATTTTCAAATATTGTAATAGAAAGTGACTTCATATATAATGAAGTCATTTTTCAATCTTGACATACTGTATGAAATAAAACGGAGAAAAAAGCAGCCCTTGCTGATTTTTCTCAGTACAAGATCTCCCGCTGTAGATTTACGAACCCATGGCGTTGCTCTTGACATTCACAAGTGCTTGTAACAGCCTAGGCTGAATAAATAATTTTGATTTTCCAACTCCTCCGACTACTCCTTAAATCAGCCACTCAGTTCTGAGGATCATGGCTTCAATAGAAGCATTGCACATTGATCTACTTGAGATGATCTACCTGTTTATAATTTTATCACTGACTTATAATTTCTGTCACAGGAATGACAGTTATAATATTAAAATGAGAAGTGACTTATTAGTCTAACCTAACAAACTGATACTATAATTTTGGACAATAACTCAATACAATTTACATTTGCTTGAAAACTACATTGTTTCATGAAATTTAATTAAAAAATTTAGGTTGATGAATTACAAATATTTTCATTATCAAAACTATTCCTACAATGTATTTTTACCAGAGATCTCTTAACAAAAAAAAATGCAATCTTTTCCCAACCCAATTTTAAGGCACATATTATACGGTTCAAATTTAAACTATTGTACTACCTGCACTCGTGTCCACATTTATTGGAATTACACCTTGAACAGGGAAAATGACATCCAGGACATTTTTCATCTAGACAGTCACAAAGATCTTTTCCAGTTACTGATATTTGACCACGCTCATTATAGATACTTTTGCTCTTGCGGCTGCAAATTATAAAATAAATTTCATACAATACGAAACAACTGAAACTAGATAATATGTTATTGACGCTTGCTTTAGGCATACTTACTTAATGTAATAACTTTTTCTATTTAACTTACGTCGCTCACGGGCCGACGTCTCTGGATCAAAATTATCCAAAAAATGCATGTTTATGTATCGTTCGATTCTTCTTCTTTTTAATTTAACACAAATATAAAAGTACTTTTCGACACAAATCAATCTTCTCCTTTTTTAATTCATAGCCTATTTGCGTTTACACGATTCCGCCAATGTCACGTTTGTGGTCTTTACACGTAAAGAAAATAATAAATTGTGTCAATATTGAATTTTAATAAAATAAAAAAAGCTCTCGGATGAAAGTTACGAACAACCAATAAGTTGGCTCATCACTAATGTTGACGTATCAACCAAACATCGTTCCTTTACACGAAACATAATAATAAATTTAAATTAATTTTAAAGTTAGATATTATAAGAAACACAAAACGATGTCATATTTATTAATTTTCGACACTAAATTTACCTTTATTACGTAAGAAACAAAATTTAAATGAATATCTTAAACAAAATCCAAACATCGCGAGTGACATCTAGTATGATTTCAAGAATTTATTTTTATTTTTTAAATAACTCGATATTAAACCGTGTTATCAGATCCATAACAACACTGACAATTCTATTCTCTTTGGTTTACCGTCATGAATTGACGTTAAGATCTAACAATTTGTGCTGCCATCTAGTTTTATTTTTTTTAAATACTTCCTCATTGATTAATCGTCACAACCACAGAAATATATCTAGTTAGAAGGAAAAAGTGTACGTATGTACTTCGCGTGCCGAAACGACGTCTAGACAGCTCCCTTGCTCGCCGCGAGGCTCAGTCCACTTTCGATCACAATCGGTGTTGGACGAAATTTAAAATGACGCGTTGTTCGATAATTACCTGCTCAAACACCACCAATATGGTTGGATCTTATAGTTAAGGTATTTCCTTCCATCTTTAAGTAACTATTTGCCTTGATATATCTATTTTGAATTAAAAATCATTAGTTTTGTTGCTCCATATTATTTTTATCAAAACGATCATGTATCCAGTAATAGCTTTCCATTGCGGCTTTAATTTGACAGTCCAAATTTGCTGTGCTTGTAAAACCATCGATGTATAATTCAAGGTCAATTTGTTGGAGGACAAATTATCATTTTTCTGTCAAAAATGGAGAATAGCGGTGTACAATGCGATTTTTTTACCCGATTAAAAAATATCGTTTTTGAAAACAGAAGAAATGATAATTAATTTTATATTGAATTAAACTGTAATTTTTGTTTTAGTTTTCCATATGATCCTCGTATTAAAAATAAATGGATTGAAGCAACAGGACTCTAAGGCAAATAGTAGGTATACTTACTGGACATGGACACTTTAACAAACACCTATATAACATGGGTTATTCTGACAGTCCTCTGTGCAGGGCGTGCATGGAGACCGAGGAGATTGTCTCCTCAGTCTCCATTCCAGTATCACATGAGCGCTTGTGCGCTCATGTGATACTGGAATGAAATGGAGAATAGTGGTGTACAATGCGATTTTTTTACCCGATTAAAAAATATCGTTTTTGAAAGCAGAAGAAATGATAATTAATTTTATATTGAATTAAACTGTAATTTTTGTTTTAGTTTTCCGTATGATCCTCATATTAAAAATAAATGGATTGAAGCAACAGGACTCTAAGGCAAATAGTAGGTATACTTACTGGACATGGACACTTTAACAAACACCTATATAACATGGGTTATTCTGACAGTCCTCTGTGCAGGGCGTGCATGGAGACCGAGGAGATTGTCTCCTCAGTCTCCATTCCAGTATCACATGAGCGCACAAGCGCTCATGTGATACTGGAATGCAGGAGCCTATTAAGACAAAGGACTACATATCTAGGAAGCCCAAGGACTAAAGCAACCCCGTGTCATGCAAAATAGGCACTGAGTATCGAGTTGCGGAAAAGCCCGCCGTGAAACAAAACATAACATCACAGGACGTAAAAATGTGTAGCGTGTCGGGAGGGGGTAGCGGCTACTACAAAGTGTTTGCCCACAGAAAAATACCGATTTCTATTCTATCGCATAAAATCTTTTTTGTGCCGATTCACTAAATTACATTCGTGAGTTCGTGACATATACATAATATTTAAGCAAAATGGTACAGTCTGTCTATAAATTCATGAACAAAATTGAGGGCGCTGCGATCGTGCACGTAGCAACCCTGTGTAGTGTGAGAAATGATTTTGATAGTAGGATTTTCTTTATTTATAGTAAAATAAACCGGATATTTTTTTTTACTTTTATTACCCCAGAAAAAGTAAAGAAAGGCGTATAATTCGTAGACAATGAGTTTATTCTACATTGAAGATTACAATATAGTAATCGTAATTTTTGATAAATCTTTTTTTTTTATAATTGCCAAGTTGTTTTCTCGTTTTATTGCAATGTGTGCTTGTGTTCGATTAAAACCTGTTACTTTGACACTCCTTGTAAGAAAACCCAATCTATTTCAGAATTTAACGCAGGACTTCTAGGCTACAATTAAAATCCAGATCGGTTTTGGCAATCCACTGATGTTTTCTTTATGTAGGTACCTCTTTTTTTCACAGAGTAAAAGAACTGAATCTTTTGTCGAAGTGCACAAATGTTGCAGTTAACCATTTATTTCTTAGGACGACTATCTATGTTTCCCAGGGGTTTCAAATATGCCACCATTTTTATAGCCTTCATCTACAATACGTATCACTATATTCTCTGATTTTCCTGAAAGTAAGTTTTAAAAATGTAATACCTATAGGTATTTGGCAAAAAGAATGGAATCGCCACAATGATCAAGTTAATACTATAATTTTAGTAATATAAAGCACAAACTTTTTATTGGCGTACGTAGGTAAAAATCGTACATTCCTAACAGGTATATTTTTTATTCAGATTAAAATCAATGATAACTTTGATTATCCAAAAGTATTAAAAGTTCGGGCCGCACTACAATATAGCCTTCTAACATTTTCAATCTAACCTATAAATGCATAATGTAAACAATACTTATTTAAGACTTAAATTTGAAACTTCTGGTAACCAAAACTCAATCAGTAACACGATTACATACCAGTCATAACTGCCATTCGAGTTTTAACATCCTACAAATATGATAAAATGTGTCCAGCTTCTTGTTCCAATAAACATCACTGAAAAACTTTATAAATAATATCCTGAGCTTCACTTCGATTAATTCTCTTCATTTTTAACACTTTTCTACGGAGTTTAGAAGAAGTAGCTTCAGTTTAATCAAAACAAATCAAAAATGCAGAAAATCGAGCTAAAAAATCAAGTTGTTGACAGTCGATGTACTTTGATTCAGTGTTGTCATACTTGTGTCTAATGTTAGTTCCTCAAACATTCTTTTCATGACTTTATAGACAGACTGTACACGTTGGTCTCCGTCGATCGATATCGTTTTTTCAATCGATAAGAATTAATATGCCGTTTCAAATACAACATGTATTCGATGCAAGTGAAATTATGTCTTCCATCACTAAATTAAGATCGTGACGTCATGATACCTACACAAAATGTGGCACGCTCGGTCTCCATGTAAATCGACGAACATTTTCCTTCTAACTAGATTTATTTCTGTGGTCACAACCAATAACAGGTTCTGTTCACCGGCATGTGACATCATAGGTAAACCGGAAGCTGTCATGTCAAAACAGTGTTATTAGAGATACGCAAAAATTGTATTTATACAAACAAATTGTAGCTCACTTTTATAAACAAAACCAGAGAAGATAGAAATACAAAACATATAATTTAACTTCAATTTCTCTTCTGTAATAGTATTTTTTTACTTCGTATATAAATAGTCGATAAATAGGTTATGTCGTCTTGACATATTTACCGGCATGTGACGTCATAAATACAACGTGATCAGCGCCGTTACATAGAGCAGCGTTTTGCGCGAATTTGGCTTTTTAAATTTTAACAATGATTTTCAACAAAATAGGACAGATTCTAATGACATTATAAATATATTGACAATGTATTTATAATGTATCGAACAACCATTTAAAATAGTTTTCAGAAAAGCGTCAAATACCCTATTCTATTCTGTCTGAACTAATGATGTGCCGATTCGATTATTATCCGATTATGGTATTATTCGTAATAGATTAATAATCGATTCGTGTCAATGATTATTAAATATTTTTACCCCATAAGTTTAGCAATGATTTCACATTAATTCCACAGTATTTTAATGTCATCCAAGTTAATGAAAAATAGTTCTAAATCAATTTTAAGACAATGCTTACTATACTAGCATTGTGCATGAAAAATGTATAGAATTTAACTAGCTGTACCCGCGATTTCGTCCGCGTGGAAAATAGCTTTAGTGATTCCTTATTACATAAACTATCTGCCAGTGTAAGCCCCGTCAAAATTAGTCTAACTGTTTCAGAGTTTAGCCCGAACAAACAAAACAGACAAAAAATATTATTTTGGTATAGGTATGTACCCTATATACTTACATGTGCTTTTAGCAAGAAACGGTTAATTTGTATTTGTTAAAATAAAACTGTAAGATCCTTTCATTCGTTCATCGGGCGTTCCCCGACCAAAGAGTAAAGTTATCTATTTGTTCGTTCTATCATTCCAGGGTTGCCATAATAAGTAATAGAATATCTACTAATAATATTCACTCTCGCGATCCGCTATGGGTTGCTGAGCCATCGAAGTAAAATAAGTAAGTACTATACTATCGTTTTAAACTATTCCAATTGGTAACGTTTTAAGAAGTAATCGAAGGTTAAGCGTCGATTAGGAAATCATAATCGATACTAACTGATTATTTGAAAAATCGATTAATGGTAATCGACTCCGCACATCATTAGTCTGAACACAAACTAACTACATAGGTTATACCTACTAAGTCTGTGCATAGGTTAAAACTTTTAATTTAAAAGGAGACGTCGCAAAAACCCAAAGAGATACAAATTAACGTTTAATTCGTGATAATGGCAGACGCCGCCACACGAGAACAATCTGTGACTAAAGTACCTATGATATATGTCTGTGGAGGTAAGAATGGTCCATTAGTTTTACAATTACTACTCTCAAGATAGTTTCACAAAAACTGCTTATGTAGCTGTATAATAAAAATTACTTTCTTTTGAAGGTAACCTAAGTTTCTTGAACTCGAT